AGGATTAATTTTATAAATTTATAGGATTAATTTTATAAATTTATAGGATTAATTTTATAAATTTATAGGATTAATTTTATAAATTTATAGGATTAATTTAGAAAATTTTTCATCAAATTTTATTAAATTATTTTTTATTAAAGTTTTAAAAGCTTGTACTAAAAAAAAATTGCTTTCTTTCTATTGACTCACCTTCATGCAGTGTTAACAAGGCTACTATGTCCAATTGTTTTCAAAGTCAATTGGACATCAACTTAGCCTCTATGTATTGGTTCTTGGAAATATATGCATTTTACAAGATTTATATAGCCAGCAAAAATCTCGACAATCATAGACTCTTATAATGCATATGTTTTCAAGGACAGCAACCTAATGCAGAAACTAAATCTCTGCTCTCCTTCTAAGAAACATTTGATTACTTCTCAACTAATTATTACTTGCATTTTTCTGGTCTAATGATTTTAAACATAATAACCAAGTTAGATTTGACATTTGTACACAATTTAGCTTGATGAAAAATATCACGACGTCTATTAGATAATTAAAGCATCTTTTATGAATTTCTTCATAAATAATTCACATTTTGCAGAATTAAAAAATTTCACAATATTGGAGTAGTTTAAAATGATAAAAACGTTATTTTTAATTCTACAAGATATAAATAAATTAAATTCATAAGAGGTGCTTCAATATCAAATGGACAAATATATGATGAAAATCATTAAGAACTAGAAAGATACATGAGCTAATTAGTTGTGCGAAAACCGACACTAGAGTGACCACAATAGGAGAGGTTCGTCTGATTGGCTAATGATTTCTATTTAATTTTAATTATTTATACAGTTTAAAGTACTTTTTTAAAAAAAATAATACAGGACATATGAATGATATGGGATGGTCCAATAGAACTCGAGCAAATTTTTTTAGTAATTTTTGTTTAATAAAAATAACTTGGCAAAAACTTAACCAAATTTGATAAACAGTTGTTTAAATTTAATTTTATAAACTTAAAAATGGATTTAAAAAATTTTTATCGAATTTGGTTAAGTTGTCAAGTTTTTTTATTCAATGTTTTAAAAAAAAATTTATTAAAAAAATTTGCTTTATTCCTATTGTCTCACCCCATATAAAAAGTTTTATTGGAGTTATAGGACTCCATAGTTAAAAAAAGACCTTAATCCTTATCCGTTTGAAAAAGCTAGCATAGTAATAATTTTATTTTATTACTATACCAACTTTTTTAGACAGATGAAGGTTAAAGATCTTGTTTATTAAGGAGTCCTATAACTCTAATAAACATTAGGTGGTTTTTCTTTATTCTTTCTAGTCAATTTTTTTTAAAAAAAAGAGTACCTTAAACTGTATAAATAATTAAATAGAATCAGACGAATTTTCCCTATGATGCCACAACGGCATCACTGATGTAAACAGGAGCGTGACATCGATGGATGACACAATCTGTCGCCAAAATTAGAACTACACATACAATTGTTGCGCTTATGAGTTCTACGCGCATACGTGCATGATGGCAGGACAACGATCTATTAACTGATTTTCGGCAAAAGAAATTTTAATTAATTAACTACCATTGCTGCCACACATATTGCACCACAGAAGAGTGATAATAATAATTGTATGTGTAATTGCAGACCTTTACTATCTGCATCACTCCCTTGTTCAACTTCATCAGAGTCGTTCTGGGGGTGTCACATGAGCCTGACACCAGTTCTTATTGTATATGTGCAAAATAATGTTCTGAAGATTATTTCGAAATAGCAGATTATCTTTCTTAACATCAAAATTTTAGAGTTTTTAAATAACTTTTGGGCGTTATTTCATAACTATACAAATTTTATATCGGAAATTACAGTGCAATTCGATTATTAGTTACCTACCAAAGGTTCTCGGCCATCTGTAAAATTTCCGCGTGTTACCTAGATAAAATTCATTGTTTTTAATTCAACGGGAACTTCTACAAATGGTCAAAAACTTTTGAATAGATAATGTAGCATTATAATTTTCGATTTGCTTATTATACGATTAACCCTCTAACGTCCTCACTTATTTCAATTCAGATTATTAGGAACACTATGTAATTAATAAGGCTTAATAAATAAGTTTACATAATATTATAAAATTTATGCTAGGTATGTGCATCTATTGTATAGTAATATAAATTATATCAAGATTCAGGTTATTAACCTATTAAAATACAGTAAAACTCCCTATAAATCAAACATATGACTAAGATTATTCTGCGGCTATAAGGTATATATCCCAAATGCATGTTATATAAAAGTTTGACTATCACTATGTTCTAACTTCTTTTAAAATATTAATAGATTTAATTACACTATGTTTTAAGTACTAATATGCAACATATTATATAAAAAATAAATTTATGATTAAAGTTTCAAAAATATGAGCCGGAAAAATTTTTGACTCAACCCCCTTCTATTTCTTCAAGTCATATTCACGCTAACATTGATATCTTTTATTAATATGGATTTGGCTGATCGATTTATCTTTTACAAAAAGGTTCAAAACTTTGGTTAATCGATCTAAATTAGAGCAATGTGGGCAGATTCTTTTTAAAAATAGACATTTCTCTGATGTATTTAAGTAAGGGTTTATCCAATCGTCTATATACGATATAATAAGAAGCGAAAAAGATAAAACGTAACAAGACGTCAGATTGGTTAATATATATATGTTGTAAGTGGGAACAGAATTTATGTGGACTCGGAGTTTTTCAATAAAACCAGCATTTTAGGATTGAATTTATCATATGTAAACCCATACCTTAACCCTAATTTAACGAATCCACTCAAACTTTGTTTCCACTTACGACATATATATAAACGTGCCTCTTTCAGAAAATTCCAAGCAATACTAGCAGAGTTATATATATTTGTCATATTAGCTAAGTTTTTGATTTTTATTACATCGGGAAATTCTGCATTTCGATTAGAATCGATTAAAAGCCAAGGATTTCAAACGATTCTCATCACTATTGATTAAAGTCGATAGAGAAGCATCGATTACAATCGATTTTTATTTAATTGCTTTTAATCGATTTTTATACATGTTGGTTACTGGATTATAAATGATAATCGTGACAGCAGCTTATGCTGAAATTGGCTGATGCTGAAATTTAGTGTTCTCGTTTAAATCTATAATACCTCCTAAAATTTATATATACTCTTTTATTAATAATGCTAACCTTAAACCCTAACATAATACTAAAGAAAAGTCTATACAAAAGACTCAAAAAATTAAAATTTTACAATAGAATATTACTAACTATAACCGATGGTAATTATCACCTAGAGTGCTATATTGGAGTCAGGTAGACTAAGTAAAAATGTTCAGAACCCTTGAAAACCTTATGTAACCTAAAATTCAAACTATTATATCTAATCCTTACTTCTGTTTCAAACCGCACCCTAATCTTAAAACTAGGAAGTAATAATAATCATTATAGGTTAATTGTTTTTTTTTTTTTGGTATTAAGGTGAGGCCTTACTCGTATCTTTATTAGTAGTTTAAAAATTAGTAGCTACATGGAGCTGCTATGTACAAAAAGTAATTTTCTATATAAATGCTATGATTAAAACCAACACTTGCAGTCAGGACTAACCATTAAACTGCTAACTATATAGTTATTTTAAGTACAAATAAAAGAAAAATTACATTCAAGAATAAAAGCTCAGACATATTTATCTGTAACTAAACCTACTAGAATGGTCAAGATTCACCTAGATTTGTAAGTTTATAATATAGTTATAAGAAATATTGTATTTGATCCAAAGAATGGTCTAGATGTTGATTTTACAGATAGTATAGCCAGTAGGTGAACAGGTATTAGAGTTAAAGTGTAGTTGGTCAGGTAGTTTACATAAACAGGAATAAGTATAATTTTTGTAATTAAAGTTTCTTTTATTATTTTGATTTAATTGAAATGAGAGTCTGGCATAAGGTAGTTTAAATCCTTGTTGATGTTTCCAGTTAGTAAAGTTTATACAATATGGTTTCCATATTTGTTCATAAGAAAGTTCATTAACTTTAGGTAGAATAGTAATAATTGTTTGTAAAACTAGTTTGTATAAGATATTAAAGTTTTGTACAATCTCAATTAGAAATTTAAGGATAAGTCCTTTAAGTATGATATCAAGATAGTGTTGATTAGTTTGAAGAGGTATAGGATAAAAGACATAGTGGTTATTGATTTTATGAATAAGTTCTTCTTATAAGTTTATAGATAAATCAAGGTCTGCATAATTAATATATTCAGATATATTAGTTTGGATAATATTGAAGATAAGTGATAGGTTTAAGCATGTATGCCAATGGGTTGAATAATTGGCAAGATTGCAGTTAAAACAGTTAGTATTGTAAAATGTATATAAATAAGTTTTGTGAAAATAAAAATAGATAGGAAGTTCATTTAATAAGATTTTAATTTTAAAAAATTTAAAGTGATTGAATTTAAAGTTAATAACATTATGAGTTGGTTTTTGGTTATGATTAAAAAATAACAAGTTGATCTCTAATCAATTTGAGAGACTAAGACTTTCTATTCTGTGTTATGTTTTTGAGAAGACCACATTGCTAGAATATAAGCTCTGCAAATATTTTTAGTAAAGCTTCTAGTTGGGTGTTCGATAAAATGTTGATTCCAAAAAATTATATGATATAGATTATAGATGCTTGTGTAGTTAAAGTATAATATAGATAATGAATTATATTGTTTTGCTAGTAAGTTAGCTAAATTATTAAGAGTGTTATTAGAGTAAACTTGTACTTTGTAAAATTTAATCTGATAGTTATAAGATTTGATAATATTAAGCAGAGTGTGTTATATAGGCCATAAGCTGAATTTGAAAAGCTTATTAAGATTTGAAAGAGTAGTATATATTTTGGAATATTTAGTAATTATAGACTAAAAATTAGTAAAAATATTGATTATTGAGTTGCGAGAGATAATTGAAACAGCTAAAAAAATTGACATTAGTTCAGCTTTGTAAGAAGATGATTAGTAATAAATTTTAGCTAAAAATTTGTGAATTATTTGATTAGAGTTATTAACTTATACCTATCCAATACTCATTGTATATTGGTCTGTACCTATATCAATTACAGAGCCATTAGTATAGAAGTTAAATGTATTTTGTACTGTATTGGTAATAGAATATTGTTCGAGTATATGTGTAGCTTCTTCTTGTTCAAAAATTTCTAATGTAGTAGAGTTAGAGATATAGATAGTAGGGACAAAAGGTAGAGATAATAGATATTTAATTGCAGTTGAATAAATTAGATCAATATAGTTTGCATTAAGGTTAAGAGTATTAGAAGAAACTCTTCCAAGAAATTAGATAGAAATTATTGATGATACATTAATTATACAACAATTTGCAACTTTATAAGAGTTGAGATAGCAACCTATATAATCCAAGCATTGAATTAATGAAAAGGAGTAGTGAGTAGAGAGTTCTGTATTAATATTTGTTTTCCAGTATATAATAGAGATTTGGTTGTCATTTTTAAATATCTGCAAATTTTGTCAATAATAATAATATTATTATATATTAGTAACTAGGGTCTAAGTTTTTTAGAGATGTGTTGAAAGTTGTAAGCGAAAGAGTTGTGTTCAGTTTGTTGATATTGTAAAAATAGTGTTCTAAGCTATTGTTAGTTGTTATAGTATTTTCTAGATATGTAAACCAAGATGGCTTACATCTTTTGAGTAGCTGTACTAAGTGAGATGAGAGATAATTCCATTAGAGTAGAGTAGTATTATCTGCAGTGCAAAGTTGTTCAAGATATAAGATATTAAGTTTTCTAAGTTGTTTTTTGAAGTTAGTATATTAGAAATAAGAGAACATAATTAGTTCAAGTGATTGAACATTGTATTGTATAGTATTGGGCCAAGATACACTATTATTAGCTGTTATAGACATGTTAATATATATAAAAAGTTAAATAATTTTAAAGTTTAAAGTATATCTGTTAGATTCATCAATATTAGGTTGAAGGTATTGTAATATATTTGTAGTTAACCAGAAATTATTTTGTAATTGTTGTAGTCGAATGCATGTAAAAGTTCCTAATAAATCAAAGTTGTTAATTTGTAACATGAAGTTAAATATATGATGTTGAAGCTGAATGTTTCAAATATTGTATATATTGTATAAGAATAGGTTAAGCATAGTGCTGTTTGGGATAGAACAGACTAGATGAAATTTATGTTTGACTATAGTTAAATATTTGGTTAGAATTTTGTTGTATACAGAATGAGGAAGGACTATATTGTATATTTAATATTTTAGAGTAGAGATAATAACTGTATTAATAATATAAATTATTTGTTTATCTGTAATTTTTTTGGTACTAACAATGTTTATGAATTGGAATGATTCTTCTTGAATTAGTTTAATTTGTGCAGTTTGTTTGTTGTTAAGTGTAAACCAGCAGCCAAAAAATTTAATAGTTTGGTTGGCTAGAATAAATATAAGTGTAGAATTAAAAAATTAAGTAGTAGTTTGGGATTGATTTGATATAAAAATAAATTTGAAGGAGTTAATTTGAATATTGGCCATTTGGTAAAAGAATGTTGCAATTTGAAGTGTTTTTTCGAGTTTTAATTTAGATTGAAATATTCAAAGTGTATTATCTATATAGGCTAAAACAGAAGTAGATGTGTGAAGGCTATAAGTTTTAAGTGAAAAAAGACTAGTTGGCTATGTTGTAGATAATGTATAATCTTTATGCTATGATGTGACTTTGTAAATAAGTAAGTTATAATATATCTGCTAAAAGAGAGAAGTAATAGTTTCACTTTGATCTATTTCATTTTTAACTAAATAAAAATTAGTAAGACCTAAGTTTGTAATTACTCTGTTTTGGCAGTCTGTAAGTAGATTAATAAGTATAT